CATATACAAATACAGTATAACATAAATAAACATATACATATGTACATGTCCATAGGTAACAGTTATCTCCCATTAAATGAACTATCTTACATGTAAATTATACAAAAACCTAAAATAACTTGTATAATCTCACTTGAAATAAATATGTTGAGAAGAAGGTCATCAGCATTGCAGTGATAGACAGTATGAGGAACAGGTCCTGGAATCTGAAATAATAACATATTGATTCTACAATAAACCAAGTTAAACATCTGTAACAGAGCAGTGGTTTCTCCTTTAGGCAAAGGTTGTTTGGAAGAAATTTTTGGCTATTACTATTATATTATAATCATGCTCTTACAATTATTATCTCAGTTGGGTTAGTCAAAGGCACTGTAAATTGTCCTCGTTATCTGGGCACATGATGCCTACGGCTACATTTTACCATGCACCACACACCATCGACAGGGATTTCATCCCCACACGCTGGAACCCAAGTGGTCTCGGATAGTGCGGTTTCAGAGGAGCTTCCTCCCATGTACACTTAGATTATGGAATGAACCACCTACCGAGGATTTCTCTAGAGACTACAGCATGTAATTTTCAAGAAGGATATATTAAGGTTTCTTAAGGGTCAGCGACACGCACGCTACACCCTTGCTGTTTCAGGCGTCCATAGGCTACGGTAACCATTTACCATCACATGGGCTGTATGCTCGTTTGCCACTATATAGTAGTATAAAAAAAAATATCAGTCTACCATTACAATTTAAAGTACCGTCACTTGCTTTTTTCCGATGGAATTTTGAATTGGGAATAGAAGCGTACGTTTCTGATTGCTTGGTGTTTACTTACATGAACAAAACGAGAAGCCCATCACGACTACGTGGAAATAAACTGATACAATTAAATAATAAGTCCAAAAACATAAAAAGAAGTTGGAAAAACAAACAAAACGAATATCTAGGCGTTGACAACTTCATTGTAACAAAATAAATTATGTGATTATTTTACTTTATAGTTTTGATTAAAGTCAACATTCATTATTATAATGGTTTGTTATTTTTCGTTTTTATATTGATTAAATTGCATAAATTTTCAAATGAAATTATATTTTATTGACAAATAAAGAAATACAGATCAAGCAGTCTGTTTTCCTTTTAGTATATTTACTTTACTCTTTGAATGAATCCGTCTGATCTGTGCTTCTAGGTAATAAATAAGGTGCTTTACTGTCATTGTCAATAGTTGACATGACGTCCTTCTGTCACTTAATATTACAATATTACATGCAACATCAAATCATAAAATTATTTTGTTTACTTCAATTAATTTATTGTAGTAGTAAATGATTGTGTTATTATTTCCGAAACAGTCATTTTATATAACAATTATAAAACTAAATATCTAAGTATCTCTAGTGTGTCAAGTTTAGTGTTGTTTACAATTTAATATACAAATTACTTTTCAGTAACCAGAATAAAATGTAAATAGAATCAACGTACAAAGCGTGTTATTCATAAAAATGGCTTTATAGTACAACAATGGCAGGAGATCATGATCGGAACCGTCGCAGTAGTGACCGCCACAGGTCTCGGAGCCGCGAAAGGCACAGGAGTCGAGACCGCGAGCGACGCGACCACAGCCGAGATCGTTACAAGGAGCACGAGCGTGGCCGGGACAGATACCGGGATCAGAGCAAGACTCGTGACAGAAATTATGGCCACAATTCCCACAAAGAGTACTCGGGGGGCGGTCTGGGTGGTGGTATGTTTGTCTCATTATAAATATTAGTTTATTTATTAGGTTGATAAGAAAAAAATACTGCCCAATTACGCTAATGGAATACGCTGGCGGGGCACCAGTGAATGATGACCAGATGAATAGATAACAAGATGAGTCAGGTCAAATACCTCATTGCAAAGGAACTATGAGGATCACATGGAGGTCACTAGTCTACCCTACTAACAATAATTTCGCCTCTTATATTAGTGTATTGTTGATGGGAAACATGGCATATTTATCCCATTATTATTTTTTGTGAAGTTATTAGCGTTAAGAAGCTGGTTCAAGTAGCTAGTTTCTAATAAATTATTAGTATATCCATATTACAAGGCTTATTAGTTTGGGAGTAGTAGCACTGTGTACATTGTCTAGGGCTATTACTAAAGGTTCTTTATGTGCATCACAGGTTTAGGCAGTAGTGGTGGCGTGGGACCAAGAGGTAGATATAAACCACAAGAGGAAGAATTTCTAGACGCGAGGAGAGAGGAGCGGGAGCGAATTGGTCAAATTGGTGTCTCCTCAGTATGGGGCAAGTCACCCACGAGACCTGAGTGAGTACATTCTTATTAATTGCTGTTTGCTAAACTTGTGTAGGGCATTCGAGGTGTCCTGGATTTGGTATTGCAAGTGTTTGAATTCAATTTTGTCAATTAGAAAGATGAGAATATGGCAGACTCAAGAGGTTGAACCAATTTCATGGAAAGTTGCCTGAATTCAAATTCATGAAATCTTTGGGATAATATTCAGTTTCATGACAGACTGAGTTTTCATTAGTTTTATTACTTACTTTAATTATACTTTTCTTTTTAATTAGATAGTTGATTTAATTGTCTAATGGCAAAAAGATACAAATTATATTTTTCTGCTTTTCAGTTCAGAAGATGAGACATCTCAGACAGATATCACGAATGGTGGCAAAGAGAAAAAGAAAAGCAAGAAGTCAAAAGATAAAACAAAAGAAAAAGATACAAAACAGAAATTAAAGAAACTGAAAAAGAAATTAAAGAAAGTTAAAAAGGCTCGGAAAAAAGCAAAAAAGAAATCTAAGAATTCAAGTAGTGATTCCGATTCCAGCTCTGAAGAGGAGGTTTGGGTGGAAAAGGGAAGTAAGTTAATATTGCCTTATATTTGTTGATGAGAAAGTGTAATAATATTAGTAATCTCTATTTATCTGAATAAATAAAATTAGAATTATTGATATTTGAATATAATAATATTTTAAGATATTAATCAAGGCAAAAGGGTCTACAACACAAGGGCAGTAAAGCCACCTTGTCTGATATTTTAGATTCATATTGATTTTGGTGGGTTAGTGATTTTACTGTTTGTGTAATCTTTTATGTAAGTTCTATTGGATCAGAGTGTGCCTACACTTATAATATTTCTATCAACATTTGACATGTTACGACGCATTACTAATGAGCTATGTAGCACACTTTCCAATAAGTTTACTAATGTACAATAAATAGTACAATAATCTCACCCGTATACTTATTACTTAGATATCACAATAAACAATAAATTATGTAGCGACATCTCAGCACATCATCAAATTATCATATATAATGTTACAACGGGTGAGGGTATAAGGGTACTGCAAAAGTAATATTGGGCTTAATATCGATGACTGTAAAGTAGAGACCAGATGAAGAGATGTAATTGAGGTGCTCTATTTCCAGAAGAAGTGGAAAGCGTTCCGGGTGGGCGGTCGTGGAGTGCGGGCGCGGCGGAGGAGGAGCCGGGCCCCGTGCCGCGGGCCGGGCCGGCGCTGGCGGCGCGGGACTTCGGGCGCGCCCTGCTGCCCGGCGAGGGCGCCGCCATGGCCGCCTACGTCGCGGAGGGCAAGCGCATCCCGCGCCGCGGGGAGATCGGACTCACCTCCGACGAGATCGCCTCCTACGAGGCCGTCGGATACGTCATGAGCGGCAGCAGGCACGTACCCACGTCCACACGCACACGCTCACAGGCCGACTACCAGCCTTATATCCTAATATAATATTACTTTAAAAAGACTGAGATAGTAAACGTCGTATTGACTATATTATATCATGTTGAATTGTCTGCATTGTCCTGAATTGCTAGCTAGTACCCTATTTACCTATTATAGTATACTTTATTGTACGTAGTTAACCTACAATATTTTTTTTTTAATATCTTTATTCATGTAGGTCTATTACAGACTCTTATGATATGTCAAATCTACCGTCAGTTCGAGATGAAAAGAACTTACAAGAAACGTATTCCTTTCAAATCAAACAAAGTGTAACTATACGAAATGTATCTATTTAACTATTTTATTAAGATCCAAATAAATAAAAATTAAATTGTATGTTTATAGACATCGCCGCATGGAAGCTGTGCGTATCCGCAAGGAGAACCAGATATATTCAGCGGACGAGAAACGAGCTCTCGCCGCCTTCAGCAAGGAGGAGCGCGCCAAGAGGGAGAACGCCATCCTCTCGCAGTTCAGGGACGTGCTGCAGGCGCGCGCGCAACGCCGGGACACATGACTCTACTCGTGATATTCGTATTGTAATAAATAACACCACACTCGAGAAATATCTTTTATTTTACAACAATAATATTTTTTACATGACATGTCTGGTCAGCCATTAACAAAGATCGAGAACTATAAACTTTAACCTTCACTTATTTGTCAGTAAACGTGAACCCATCACACGCATGAGATGTTCTAAGAACGAGTCGGTGATGTGATTCATATTTACTGAACTATTTTAGAGCTAAATATAAAATAAATCCATTTTTGATTCAAAAATCGATTCGAACGAAGATATAATTTGTACAAAAGTATAAAACGATTTGATTCTTTTACACGTACACGAAAATTAGTAAAATGCTATCACTCATGATTTCGCGCTGGCGTTCCAGCACTAAATCACAATAAGCTTTTAACCCTGGACGATACACACAGCGCCCTCTAGTCCCGAGCTTAACAAAGCTTGTGGTGTAAATACATGGATGGAAAATTTTTTTTGGTGAACATATATACATAAAAGACACCCAGTGGCGCTGTGTTATTTGTCCTAAAACAATCATACTCATGAATACAAATATTTGTACCGTATGAGTGACCCTCGGAAGCTGGTGTGCTAAACCGTTCGAGGTCGTCAGTGTCACCGTGTCGTGTAAAGGCAGGTATTGTCGAATAAGGTGCGGGTTGAGTGAGTCCGCACGTGCACGAGTGGGAGGGGTAGGGGGCGGGGGCGGGGACGGTGTCAGTGCGGGGCGGCGGGCTCGTAGCGTGCGAGCCGCGCCCGGCACGCGGCCAGCTCGGCGGCGGGGGAGGGGGCGGGGGCGGGGTCAATGCGGGGCGGCGGGCTCGTAGCGTGCGAGCCGCGCCCGGCACGCGGCCAGCTCGGCGGCGGGGGAGGGGGAGGGGGAGGGGGCGGGGGCGGGGCGGCGGGCTCGTAGCGTGCGAGCCGCGCCCGGCACGCGGCCAGCTCGGCGGCGGGGGAGGGGGCGGGGGCGGGGGGCGGGGGCGGGGTCAGTGCGGGGCGGCGGGCTCGTAGCGTGCGAGCCGCGCCCGGCACGCGGCCAGCTCGGCGGCGGGGGAGGGGGGGGGGGCGGGGGCGGGGGCGGGGCGGCGGGCTCGTAGCGTGCGAGCCGCGCCCGGCACGCGGCCAGCTCGGCGGCCAGCCCGGCGGCGGGGGAGGGGGCGGGGGCGGGGTCAGTGCGGGGCGGCGGGCTCGTAGCGTGCGAGCCGCGCCCGGCACGCGGCCAGCTCGGCGGCCAGCCCGGCGGCGGGGGAGGGGGCGGGGGCGGGGCGGCGGGGCGGCGGGCTCGTAGCGTGCGAGCCGCGCCCGGCACGCGGCCAGCTCGGCGGCCAGCCCGGCGGCGGGGGAGGGGGCGGGGGCGGGGTCAATGCGGGGCGGCGGGCTCGTAGCGTGCGAGCCGCGCCCGGCACGCGGCCAGCTCGGCGGCGGGGGAGGGGGCGGGGGAGGGGGCGGGGGCGGGGGCGGCGGGCTCGTCGTAGCGTGCGAGCCGCGCCCGGCACGCGGCCAGCTCGGCGGCGGGGGAGGGGGCGGGGGAGGGGGCGGGGGCGGGGCGGCGGGCGCGTAGCGTGCGAGCCGCGCCCGGCACGCGGCCAGCTCGGCGGCCAGCCCGGCGGCGGGGGAGGGGGCGGGGGCGGGGTCAGTGCGGGGCGGCGGGCTCGTAGCGTGCGAGCCGCGCCCGGCACGCGGCCAGCTCGGCGGCCAGCCCGGCGGCGGGGGAGGGGGCGGGGGCGGGGTCAGTGCGGGGCGGCGGGCTCGTAGCGTGCGAGCCGCGCCCGGCACGCGGCCAGCTCGGCGGCCAGCCCGGCGGCGGGGGAGGGGGCGGGGGCGGGGGCGGGGGCGGGGGGCGGTACCAGCACCAGGCTGAGGCACCGAAGCCGAGGCTGGAGCGGTCGGAGCCGTGGGCGGCGGCGGCCCGCAGCAGTGTGGGGCGGGGGCGGGGGCGGGGGCGGGGTCAGTGCGGGGCGGCGGGCTCGTAGCGTGCGAGCCGCGCCCGGCACGCGGCCAGCTCGGCGGCCAGCCCGGCGGCGGGGGAGGGGGGGGGGGGGGGCGGGGGCGGGGTCAGTGCGGGGCGGCGGGCTCGTAGCGTGCGAGCCGCGCCCGGCACGCGGCCAGCTCGGCGGCCAGCCCGGCGGCGGGGGAGGGGGGCGGGGGCGGGGGCGGGGGCGGGGTCAGTGCGGGGCGGCGGGCTCGTAGCGTGCGAGCCGCGCCCGGCACGCGGCCAGCTCGGCGGCGGGGGAGGGGGCGGGGGCGGGGGCGGGGGCGGGGCGGCGGGGGGCGGCGGGCTCGTAGCGTGCGAGCCGCGCCCGGCACGCGGCCAGCTCGGCGGCGGGGGAGGGGGAGGGGGAGGGGGCGGGGGCGGGGCGGCGGGCTCGGAGCGTGCGAGCCGCGCCCGGCACGCGGCCAGCTCGGCGGCGGGGGAGGGGGAGGGGGAGGGGGCGGGGGCGGGGCGGCGGGCTCGTAGCGTGCGAGCCGCGCCCGGCACGCGGCCAGCTCGGCGGCCAGCCCGGCGGCGGGGGAGGGGGCGGGGGCGGGGGCGGGGGCGGGGGCGGCGGGCGGGGCTCGTAGCGTGCGAGCCGCGCCCGGCACGCGGCCAGCTCGGCGGCGGGGGAGGGGGAGGGGGCGGGGGCGGGGTCAATGCGGGGCGGCGGGCTCGTAGCGTGCGAGCCGCGCCCGGCACGCGGCCAGCTCGGCGGCGGGGGAGGGGGCGGGGGCGGGGGCCATGCGGGGCGGCGGGCTCGTAGCGTGCGAGCCGCGCCCGGCACGCGGCCAGCTCGGCGGCCAGCCCGGCGGCGGGGGAGGGGGCGGGGGCGGGGTCAGTGCGGGGCGGCGGGCTCGTAGCGTGCGAGCCGCGCCCGGCACGCGGCCAGCTCGGCGGCCAGCCCGGCGGCGGCGCGGCGAGCCGCCCGCAGCTGTCCGCGCAGCATCTCGCGCTCGTCGGGGACCACCGCGGGGGCGGGGGCGGAGGCGGGGGAGGGGGCCGGCAGTCTGCCGCCGCCCTTGTTGACCACTATCCGCACGGGCGTCGGCATCGACTTCAGCGGCGTGGCGTCCAAACTTACCACCTGCCGGTCACGTAACACCAAAGAAAAGAAATATTTCAAACATTATTTAAGTATGCAAATCGACGACTAGAGCTTACAGTATCCTCATTCAAAGATGTATTATATACATTTTTTTCTTAATAATAATATTTTTGGTACGTCTCGCTTTGAAACAATAAAAGTTGTGAGCTATGGTTGTTATCTATGATTTCACACTTTATTTTACGTTACATACTACCATACTACGAGAAAAGCTGTAGCCATCGAACAACTATTTAAAAAAATAGATCTTTAATCTATACTTAATTACATTATAATTACCCTAAAAATTAGTTTGATGGTGATCTATGATCATTGAGCATATAACCAACGATACTTTGTTCCAATAGAACTTAGAGAACAGATAAACATAGTGATCACTAACGTGACGATGCCGATAACAGACGATTAAAAAAATAATAATTGAATTAAATATTACGATTTGTTCGACTAAATTCATTATACATGATTACAAAATACTAGTATGCCTGACGAAAATCAAAACCCCTTAAAATTGTATTTATTATAAAGGCGAAAGTTTAAAAATAAGTATTCTGTATCCAATAAAAATTGTATATAATCAAAATTTGTATTATTCACTATTCACAATAATACGCCCAGCAACATTGTCGATACAAAAATAATGAGTGTATCCAGAACCACAAAACCAAGGGCCTGAAAAAAATGTTCGATGTCATTTGTCGGTGTAAAAATTTGGCGCGTTTTCGTATAATTATAATAAAATGTCACTTGTTTTTAGAACAGTATTAAATAAATTAACTATTTTTTTTCTTACATTCGTTTAACCATTGACTATAGAGTTTTTTTTATAACGTCGTTCATTTTGCTTACATTTTTGCGTAATATTTTTCAAATATAATTTAGAAAGTGTTCACAAATAAATAGTGTTACAAAAAGTGGTGATATATGCTGTTAAATAGCTCAAGATTCGGATAATTGTGTTACTATTTCTATTAAGCGGATCCACATATGACAATTTTTAAGATAAAATCTTTGTTTACAATATCCATAAGTTATATTGAAAATTGAAACAGTTTCTACTCGTAGGTATATATTACACTCTGGTTATTTAGTATTTTAGCTAGTAATAAATATATCTTTGGAATTATCATTCAGAATATCCAATTTTTAGTTACCTGCATGTCTTGCGTGTTGAGCACCTTCTTGATGGGTAACTTGTTGGTGTCCTTGGGTAGTGCGAGCAGTTTGTTGTTGATGGTGAATATCTTGACGCCGGGCTTGGGCGGCGTCCTCACGGGCGTCGCCGTCAGCACCACGCCCTTCTGCTGACACGCGGCTTTACTCACGATCGTGGGCGCGGCCGGCTGAGACGCTTCTTTCGTTCCGCTTTCTTTTAACATTAACTTTCCTGCATCTGTGATCAGAAAATAATTATTTAATATTTGAGAGGATGAAAAAAATATGATAATGAAATATTACCTATATTTGGTTGGAGTACCTACCTATTTATATTTGGTTTTAACTCACCTATACGTTTAGTACTTAAAATTTTAGTTAGAAGGAAAATAGTGATGTTGATAACTAGGAAGTTATTAGTTACGGTATGGACGTACCGACGACGGTGCAGAGGGGGCACGTATCGGAGAGTACGACGGTGCAGAGGGGGCACGTACCGGAGAGGACGACGGTGAAGAGGGGGCACGTACCGGAAAGGACGCGGGTGCAGAGGGGGGCACGTACCGGAAAGGACGAGGGTGCAGAGGGGGCACGTACCGGAAAGGACGACGGTGCAGAGGGGGCACGTACCGGAAAGGACGACGGTGCAGAGGGGGCACGTACAGGAAGAGGGTGCAGAGGGGGCACGTGCCGGAAAGGACGACGGTGCAGAGGGGGCACGTACCGGAAAGGACGACGGTGCAGAGGGGGCACGTACGGAAAGGACGACGGTGCAGAAAGGGTACGTACCGGAAAGGACGACGGTGCAGAGGGGGCACGTACCGGAAAGGACGACGGTGCAGAGGGGGCACGTACCGGAAAGGACGACGGTGCAGAGGGGGCACGTACCGGAGACGACGGTGCAGAGGGGGCACGTGCCGGAAAGGACGACGGTGCAGAGGGGGCACGTACCGGAAAGGACGACGGTGCAGAGGGGGCACGTACGGAAAGGACGACGGTGCAGAAAGGGCACGTACCGGAAAGGACGACGGTGCAGAGGGGGCACGTACTGGAAAGGACGACGGTGCAGAGGGCGCACGTACCGGCAAGGACGACGGTGCAGAGGGGGCACGTACCGGAAAGGACGACGGTGCAGAGGGGGCACGTACCGGAAAGGACGACGGTGCAGAGGGGGCACGTACCGGAAAGGACGACGGTGCAGAGGGGGCACGTACCGGAAAGGACGACGGTGCAGAGGGGGCACGTACCGGAGAGGACTACGGTGCAGCCGCTCTGCAGCGCGCTGAGTACCGTGCTGCCGTCGTCGGCGGGCAGCAGCGTGATGCCGTGCCGCCGCAGCAACGCTTCGGCCGCCGTCTCCCCCCGTGCGCGTCCGTCCGTCCCGGCCGTCTGCAAGTAACGCTGACTTATTACTTATTATCCCTCGCGTAATAACAATGCGACATTGCTGAGCGAGTTGACTATACCTCCAAGTTGTCCTCAGTCTTGATCGGTCGCTTTTCTGCTCTCGGTACGGTCACTTTAACCTCCTGTATTCCTGAAAGGCAGTAAATTTTTGGATTAACATCATTAATCAAGTATAGAATAGATATAATGGGTATTACTGGCTGACATTACTTTGTGCCGCGGGAAATTCCATCTGTCGTGCTTCATTTGTGTCGTGCAGCATATCATCTGAAACGTAACGATTTATAAATCCGAAGCCGAGTATAAAAACCACATGTCATAAGATGAATAAAAAATGTTGAAGCGAAGTCAAATTGATTAATTTTGTTATTTAATTAGAAGTTGATATCTGAGTTTGAGCGTGCGCTCGGTATAGTCTGTCGGCGCGGTGTGTAACACCTGTTGAATTAGGGCGGTACTTGGAGGTACCGCTGGTGAGTGAGGCGGTACCTGGGGGCGCCACTGGTGAGTGAGGCGGTCCCTGGGGGCGCCACTGGTGAGTGAGGCGGTACCTGGGGGCGCCACTGGTGAGTGAGGCGGTCCCTGGGGGCGCCACTGGTGAGTGAGGCGGTCCCTGGGGGCGCCACTGGTGAGTGAGGCGGTACCTGGGGGCCCCGCCGGCGAGTGAGTGTGTACCTGGCGGCGCGGGCGGCGCGGGCGGCGGCGCCGGGTGCGCGTCGAGCAGCGCGAGCAGGTGCGGGTGGCGGGCGCGCGCGGCGAGCTGGCGAGTACCTGGCGGCGCGGGCGGCGGCGCCGGGTGCTGAGTGTGTACCTGGCGGCGCGGGCGGCGGCGCCGGGTGCTGAGTGTGTACCTGGCGGCGCGGGCGGCGCGGGCTGCGGCGCCGGGTGCGCGTCGAGCAGCGCGAGCAGGTGCGGGTGGCGGCCGCCGGCGAGTGAGTGAGTACCTGGCGGCGCGGGCGGCGGCGCCGGGTGCTGAGTGTGTACCTGGCGGCGCGGGCGGCGCGGGCGGCGGCGCCGGGTGCTGAGTGTGTACCTGGCGGCGCGGGCGGCGCGGGCTGCGGCGCCGGGTGCGCGTCGAGCAGCGCGAGCAGGTGCGGGTGGCGGCCGCCGGCGAGTGAGTGAGTACCTGGCGGCGCGGGCGGCGGCGCCGGGTGCTGAGTGTGTACCTGGCGGCGCGGGCGGCGCGGCGGCGGCGCCGGGTGGTGAGTGTGTACCTGGCGGCGCGGGCGGCGCGGGCGGCGGCGCCGGGTGCGCGTCGAGCAGCGCGAGCAGGTGCGGGTGGCGGGCGCGCGCGGCGAGCTGGCGCGGCGTGCGGCCGAACTTGCAGACGGCGGCGACGTCGGCGCCGTGGCGCAGCAGCGCGGCGGCCACGTGGCGGTGTCCGCGCGCGGCGGCCCAGTGCAGCGGCGTCATGCGCAGCATGTCGCGGCAGTCGGGCGCGGCGCCGTGCTCCAGCAGCAGCCGCGCGACGTCCGCGTGGCCGCCGTAGGCCGCCAGGTGCAGCGGCGTGCGGTCCACCTTGGTGCGCGCGTCCCGCGACATGCCGGCCCGCAGCAGCACCGCGCACGTGTCCGCGTGCGCGCCGCCCGCCGCCGCGTGCAGCGCCGACGTGCCCAGCTGACCGCGACCGCACTCGTTACGATACCGGATATTTTGTGCGAGCGTACATGTCAATGCAACGACCATCGGATTCGGTACGATGCCTGTATTGACGCGCACGCTCCGGTCAGTTCGAATTTCGTGCCGGAATGAACGTGCGTGTGAAAGCAGACGAGGAGCACGATATGCGTGCGCGCAGATTGCCCGTTCCCGTTTTTGCATCAATTAATTATGTATCCAATTAAAGTATTAAATCAAAGCCCTAAACACGCGAAAGCATACGTATCATTATACAATTGCCCCAAGAACGTTTCAAAACTTAACATGATTTTATCACTATTAAATCTATCAAACTACTATATTGAGATTGGTACATTGCTGTCACGTTCATTCTTCGGCATGTGCAGGTTGTACTCTGCAGCGTTTCTAAGTATGGCTGTGCAATGCGTATGTACCTGGCGCACTTACGCGTCACAGACTACACACCGAATTTGAATATTGAGAAGCGGGAAATTTGCGTGTGCAGTCGTCACTGTTCTTATCGAACAGTCACGATTGCACACACATATTTATCGCTCTAAATTACATGTAAAAGAAGATAACATGTAGCTAATTAGTAATAAGTGTAATAGCTGCACACCCAGTCGGTGGTGAAGGGCGCTCCCTTGGCCATGAGATCCAGCACGAGCGAGGTGTTCCCGGCGCGCGCGGCCAGCAGCAGCCGGCGGCCCAGCTCCACGGCGGCAGACGACGCGTGCACTCGCGCCCCCACCGCCCCCGCGCCGCCCCCCGCACCCCCACCCACCCCCGCGACTCCACCGCTGTCGATTACCTCTGCCTCCGACTGCCGTTGTTGAAATTACAAAAAATAAGTACAAGACTCTTAATGCTGAAGCACAACCTGCAGAAGGTTGAAAATTATATGTGTGAAGTACCACAGGATCACCATGGATAGCTATATTAAGTCGTCTCCATGCACTTCCTTTGTTGTTAAATGGTGAGTTTGCCACAATGAACTAACTGACTTGACCTCAAGATAATCTTATCATCCCCCACTGGTGCCCTGCCAGTGTAATCCGATAGTGCAGGACGGGTGTACCATTCTATTATCATGCATGAAAAAATAACACAAATGCACCCAGTATTATAGCACTAACTAGCTGTTACCTGCAGCTTCATCCGTGTGAAATTGACTTAATTATTAAAATAAAATTAAAAAAAAATGTAGTCTAAGTTCATACTTATAACATTAGCTAACTGTAAATGAAAGTTCCATCCCAATTGATCCATCCCTTTCAGAGTTAGCAAGAACACACAGACAGACAAAGTATAATATTTTCATATGCATTTAGTAAGTAGCTGTTAACTTTAAATTACAAATGTATACTTAAATTTTATTTATTTGTGTGTATTCAGTATTCCACAATAGTAGCATACATTGAAGATATAAAAAAATTAACCAGTATAATTCACATAGCTTAATCTAATCCCAAACTAAGCAAAGCTTGTACTTTAGTTTTTAGACAACTAATAGAAATACTTTATTTTGTTCTAACCGTCATGGGTCCATCAGATGTAAAGCAGTGGACCATACTGTTTGACCACCAACACTATCAATACTATATTAATTCAAGATGGTGGAACAACTTTCTTATTATATAGTGGCTAATGGTAATTTTAATAAAATTTGTTATATGTCAGTCTAAGATATGGTTTATTATTTAATTTAAATACATACAGCAACCCGAACACCTCCAAACTTTTAGTGTAACATTATAAGAGTCAATAAGTAATTATTTCAATTGCTATTGTCATTCACATACCGATATGATCTGTGGAGCTGTGATCCGCACCACTACATCATCTGTGCAGAGATCAGTGGTCATACTGCCAGACCTGTGTCCGAAGCAACATTTCATATTTATTCATGATTCTCAAGTAATAAGTACATTACTACATACTAGTACCCTTTACCTGTATTAAGTGTTATTATGTACTTAACTCATTCAAATCATACAACATTATTAAAAAAATATGGGTATATATTGACAATTTACTTTAATACACATGTCCCTTATATATTTTAATATCAGAGAAGGAAATTCTGTAGTGAGCACAATTTATTGAAACCATTTTTGGTAGTGATATAAATAAAAAAATTGCAGCAATAAATGTATGTTGGTTATAATAAAATGTTCTTTTCATCATTTTTACTTATCAAGATGGACGACTTTAAAGTAATAATATATTTTCGCTTTAGTTTTCGTTAGATTTTGTTGGAGCATAGACATTAGAAAAGTGTTTTCACACTTTTGCGCCATTGCATTATTGATTAATAATAACAGGATAAGGATATGGAGTTCGAAGCTAGATTACCATTCTGTCGCCATAACACTTCCTTTTCCTGTTCTGAACGGAAGTGATAGATTTGTAATACTTACTTTTTATAATTTGCTCGAACATAGAACTTTACTTAGGTCACTATAATTAGAGAAACACCTCTAATTTAGTCTTCTATGATTATTTTCATGCTTAAATATGCAAACGTCAACAGATATCATTACTTTTAGTTGTGTTATTTATACTAAAGCGAAAAATTGCTAAACAAATGTCAAACAAATTGACATGAGGAACCTCTGTGACTGACATGAAAATGAGGAAGTTTAACAAAATCTGATAAAGATGGCGCCACTATATTATGATGTACTAGTTATTTAAATAGTCTACTTATATACAACTACAAAACAGTATATAAAATAAAATCTTAAATTGTATATTACGATGCTGTTACCATAGGGAAACTGAGATTGAATTTAGTATAGAAATACTTTACGTACGTCCATTATAATATAGTGGCGCCATCTTCCAAGTTCAGTTAAAAGTTGTTCTCGCTCTTTCACACAAATTCCACCAAGTCGAGTTTATGAGATAATAATATAAAAAGTGGTTAACGTCGCCCAACTTATATTACAGAGACGCTCAAGTTGTTTTCTCGCTTTTATTATGATAAAGATTATGGGAATGAATAAGATTTAAACTGTATAACAGTTACGTGGCCTGAATGAGGTCGTGAGGTCTAATTACAGACATTTAAACTTTGTTTGAGTCTTGAGAATACCAAAATACTTCATTTGGATTAATAAAATCAAACATATAATAACTACCGAAATTTATTACAGCTATTAATATGAGTATCCTAAAAAATCTACCAACAAATTTTCTTGATACTGTTAAAATTCACATCCTTTCTATATGTATTCTAAGGAAGGTGTTACATATGAATGTGGATGGTTATAAGGGTAGAAGAAGACCGAAAAAGAGATGGATGGACTGTGTGAAAGATGATATGGTGAGAAAGGGAGTAAATAACGAAATGACTGCGAACAGAGAATAGAGATGAATGGAAGAGAAAAACATATTACGCCGACCCCAAATAAATGGGATAAGGAAGAAGCAGATGATGATGTTAGAATTCACATCATTATTGTAGAAAAAATCCGATATTTTAAAAATATATTAAAAGAAGGTAGTTTGCATTTAATACTAATGAAGTACCAAATGTAAAGATTATTACGAATATTATAAATAGCGCCATCTAGTATTTACAGACCAACCTACTACACTGACTTTGGTCTATAAATACGGAGGTCGGTAGTGCAATAATCCTCTTTCGTTGCGTGAGCTGCGGCATTCAGTCGACGAGCGCAGAGCGTGCCAGTTGTATTTTGGATACTAAAGTGAATTATATTAGAAATGGGTTGGGCCTGGGGGGAAACTGCAAGTAGTGAAGGTGAGTGTTAATGCATTCTAAAAGAGCCTTTTAAACCTACACCCGTGTCACAAGTCACGGGCGCTACTTGGGGTTTCCCTTGCGGTAGCCGGCTTCAAAGCCTAAGTCATCATATTTTACAAGTGCATCTTACAATACAAAAAGCAATTGGACAGTAAAAAACACATTAGTGAGGTATTAATATAATTATCATTGTCATTAGAGATTGCTAATATTATAATGTTCTTACATCTTACTTCATTATATAGTATAAAACAAAGTCGCAGTCGCTGTCCGTCCCTATGTATGCTTAAATCTTTAAAACTACGCAACGGATTTTGAAGCGGTTTTATTTTAATAGATAGAGGAAGGTTTATATATGTATATAATACATGTGCACCCGTGCGAAGGCGGGATGAGTAGCTAGTAATATTATAAACGCGTAAGTTAGAACGATAGAAGTTTCTTACTCTTTCACGTAAAAACTACTCAATGGTTTTTTAATAAATTACAATATTATAGCTAGATACATCAGAATAACACAGGCTATAAACTTCACGCAAGTCAAACCGCGGGCATAGCTAGTAACTAATATATTATGTGGTACACCATACAGAATATTTGTATTCACACACTTAAACTTAAATTGTAAGTAAGAATAAATTATTTAAAAGAACAACACACAAGTTTCTTGCTTGTTCTTCTTGTGATGAGACAGCATTCCGAATGAGCGGTAGATTAAAAAAAAATGTTATGACTATTCAAAAGTGCTTCAATGTAAGTTTATTTGAATAAATGATTTTCTATTCTATTCTATTCTATTCTAATGATTAATATTATAGAGTAAAAAATATGATAACCTATAATATTAATTATTTTATTTAAACCTTTAGAATCATCATAATTATTTCCCGGTGAAGGTTGAGTGATATATACCATCAGTTTATTACGTAAAGATTAGAAAAAACATTAACTGTTACTGTTCTAAAAAGAGATTGTATCTCATATCTATACATATAAATAAAATTGGAGTGTCTGTTTGTAATATCAAAATAACCGTCTTTTACTACAGGCATATGAATATGAATACGGTACATACACCAAAATAACATTTTTTACAATTTTTGTCTGTCTATCTGTCTGTTTGTTTGTTCCGGCTAATCTCTGAAACAGTTGGACCGATTTGGACGGGACTTTATTTGGCAGGTAGCTGATTTAATAAGGAGTAATTTAGGATACTTTTATTTTAGAAAGATTAAAAAATAAAGTAACTACCACGCGGACGAAGTCGCGGTTATAGCTAGCTAACAATAAAAGAAATGTCCCTATGTGAGAAATAAGATTATATAATACGGTTTTCAGGATGTTAAATATATTTTCGTTGCCGCAGTTATGTACAAAATGCATTAGCTCGTTAGGTTGTCTTGTACATTGGGTATATATCTACGTATGAAGTACATTACAGGTTAGGTTATAGTGCCGGATACGTGTCACGTACCAGACCCGCAGCGTACACTCCGCTACGTGTTATACAGCGTGCTCCCATTACCACGAAACTCTAAAAACTGCAATGAACGATTTACAATAACGCGCAGGTATACACACGTTATTGATTTCTAGTATTATGATAGTAATGCATCGATTGCAAACGAAATAGTCGAGTTCGGTGTAGGTACGGTGGTACGAGTCGTACGTGGCGAGATATTCGTCCAAATCTCAAGGAATGCAAGAGGGCCGATACTATAGCTGGAACGGCTTACCACCGACACTTGCCGGCTATTAATTTACCCGTGAACTTTGATAGTACACTACCCTACTCCCCTTCCACCCTCACATTACTAGTTAATTCGTTTTTATTTTACTTTTGCATAGTTATACGCACATATTTAGTTGTACTACAGGTAGTAATTTCACTGCTTATACATACAGTTATATCAAAACCGTTAAGATTCAGTTATATTTGTACTACTCAGGCATCAAAATCTTCAGGTTTTTTTTAAATAATAACTAGCTGTTACCTACCAACGCACCGCTCGCCATAGACAGGGAATTCACCACCACACGCTGGAACCTAAGTGGTCTCAGATAGTGCGGTTTCAGAGAAGCTTAAGGGTCGGCAATGCGCATGTGACACCCCTGGTGTTTCAGGCGTCCATAGGCTACGGTAACCGTTTATCATCAGATGGGTCGAATGCTTGTTTGCCACCTACGTGGTATAAAAAAAAGCCTCTTACTGCTTACTTACACACGCTGATTATGTATACAAAAAAGTTATGGGTATAAAGTTTCTTCTTTTTTGTTTTCTTTTCTGTTTACTTAAGACTATATGTGTATACTTGCTACTCGCCCCGGCTTCGCACGGGGGTACATGTATTATATATATAATATATAAACCTAAATAAACCTTCCTCTTGAATCTATCTATTAAAAAACCCGCTTCAAAATCCGTTGTATTATTTTAAAGATTTAAGCATACATAGGGATGGACGGACAGTACAGTGACTTTGTTATATAATATGTAATGATGATGATTCATTGGGTAAGTCTTAATTAATACATGTACGGAAATAATCAACAATAATCGACACGCTTCTCAATACATATACTAAAATATTATATGCCAGAAAAAATATTAACAATTTAAAAAAGTAGGTAATTACACTAATAAAAGCTTACGTAATTAGTTAACAAACTAGTTTTACCTAAGTGCCGTTTGACAAAAGTCAGTAATTCGTTTTATGGAAATTGTGTAAGGTTTTGCAACAAACTCCAAGAGTCTGTACTCAATTTGCCAGAAAAAAATTCAAATGTGTTATAAAATACTTTCTTCGTAAAAAAGCTTATTATAAAATTTAAGAATTTATAAATAATAATAATGTTTTTGTAGAAAATATCTAACTTAAAATTCATAGCGCTGACAATGTTATCTGATTGAACAGAGATTAAGTGCGTATCGATTTCAATGTTTGTCATTGTTTCAATGATTGTCGCATGCCTAATCCTTGTTGTTAATTAAATATAAGTAAATCACACTAGTTTCTTGCTCATTCTTCTTGTGATGAATTTGCATTCCGAATAATCGGTAGAATAAAAAAACTTGACTATTCAAAAGTGCTTATATTAAGTTTATTTGAATAAAGATTATTTCTATTTCTATTCTTAGTAATGTTTTTTTTTATTTTTAATTTGAATACATTATAATTGCGAGTGTCGTGTTTCCAAGCATCCACCGAATAAATATGTAATTTAATTACATTCGCTACAGTTTTATTTTTGTTCGCCGTAGGTAATTTCTTCGAAATGAAGTAAACTCTGCCACGAATATTTTGATGGTAAAATAAAATATTCTTTGCCGGAAATAGGGGCTGTAAACTCTAATTAGGGAGGCAGAGAGTATCCAGAATACAAATGTTCCCCGTGTCGGTAACGAGACGCGAGCGTCGCGGCGCCGTAACGGGATCGTAAACGCCGCGCCCCGCCGTTCCGTACTGCGTATTTAGTACGTCTTCACGACTCCATCTACACACATATATGGAACTGGCTGTTAGCCACGACTTCGTTCGTGTTAAACCAGTTTTTTTTAATTACCTATAATAATTACATTTAAACGTTAATTACCCAAAATATTTACGTGGTGGGCTGGGACAATGTGCTCTCTGTAATATGGTTGAGTGCAATGGTGGCTGGTTGATCTGTCATGCTAACTACTGACTAGTCCCCACAAGCAGCACCTGTGCCTCGTGCACAGGTTGCGAACACTGATTAGACTTTTTGCTTTTGCAATAGCATATGCTGGTGATCGCTCTATACTTCCAAATTTGAC